ACTTGCCTAATTGCATCTATTTACAATTAATATGTAATTGTAAGGGTTAAGTGAAACTTGGTTATTGAGTGGTTGTACTCATCCCTCAATTCTCAATATTTTTAGGAACTAGCTTATCAGATTCGAGTCGAGGAAAACATACAGAGACTTAGGATTTGTGGAGTACATCCTCTATATTCCTCTCTTTAGTTGTTTTCATGCATATTTGTTAATGTATTTGCCAACTAGGATTAATTGTCATGATTGTTGCACTACTTGTATGATTTGTGTTTAACTAGTATATTTTGTGCTCTTAGTGAGTATTTGTTGTGAACCTATGGATAGGGCCAAAATACTTGTGCAAGTAGGAATATATGTATTTTTTGAGAAATATGAATGAAATGGTTGATCTTATGCAACTTTTCCTCCCCCTCTATGTTTTGTGAAAATTAGGGTTGAGTAGTAATTTTGTGAAATAAGTGTGTTTGATTGTGTATGGTGTGTTGCACAAGTCCACAAAAGTCCATTGAGTATGGTCGGAGGGTTGGTATAGGCTATTGGTATGTGTGGTTGAGTTGGGACACCCAATTTGGGAAATTTTATGAAAATGTGTCAAAATGAGTTTTGGTGTCTAACTTTTTATAGAAAATCAGTTTGAATGTGAAAATGGTGCCATTAGCTAGAGCTAGGAGAAAGCTCTGTGTAGACACCAAAACCACCTCAATTAGACGTCGAACAGAGATTTAGGATGAGTTAGAAGTTCGCCTCTCGGGCTATCAAATGACAGCACTGATCTGTCAAATTTCATGTAATGCGCCGCGGCGCATGGCACAAAGAAGACAAGCCGCAACGCACTTGCCGTAAGCCACGACACACATGTCCTTTTCTACACAAAATTTCTTTTTGAGTTTTAAAACTCATTATTTGGGTCCCAATTGATTTCTAAGATTCTGCTTTATTTTCAAAACTCTGATTTGGAGTCCTTAAAATATGTTTGAGATTTGAGCTATTGAGATTGGGATTCCCTTAGAAAGATTTTGAGAAGTTTGCTTTATAAAACCCTACAGTTTAGTAATTCTTAAGGGTTTAGCCCTGGATTACCATGATTGTAAGTTAATTGTAGTTTAACCTTAGGGAGGTTACAACCAACTTTGATGGTGACATTCAATATGAGACTTTTTATATTAGTTCAATTCCAAGTACTAAATCAATTGAGAACTCTACTTTCCTTTCAAGAGGTAATCCAATCATTTCATCTAAAAATACCTCAGGGAACTCACTCATTATCCCAATCTTCTCAATTCCCTCACCATAGATTATACTAGAAGAAAAGAACACCATGTACACATCACAACCTTGTCAGATCAACTTCTCGACACAAACTACTAACAAGAACTTGAACTGCTTAAAGGAATCTATGTCTGTCGACAGCACTGGCAATGAAACAATATTTCTGGCATACTTAAGTGTATCATTATTCGTTCCTAGCCAATCTATGCCAATAATCACATCTATTTCCTTCATAGGGATGCAGTTCATATCAATTTTAGAAATTTTGCCCTCAAAGTGGGCTTTCGCCCCTTGACAAGCTCTACTAGTAATACTAGACGATCCAGAAGGCATAGTTACTCCAACAAGTAGGGGTAACTCTTGTAATGACAGATGCAATTGATCTATACACTCCTTAGATACAAAGGAATGTGTGACACCAGAATCAAATAGTGCTTCTACTTGGTGACCACAATACCTCAAATCAAGTTTGGAGTACTTTAGAATCTTCTTACGTAACTGCAAAAACTTAGCTAGGAATCATAGATCTTTGCTTAGTTCCCTCAACTTTGTCCTTCAGGCATTGCCTTGCTAAATGTCTTGACTTGCCATACTTGAAGTAAGCCCAACATCTTCCTTAATGAGATTGGTTGCAAATGTTGCACTAGGTAACCTTCCAATACTTAGGGTAGGCGCTGGAACATTTAATGCTTGCCTTAAAGACTGTGGAGGCCCAATTCTCACACCCATACTTCTCTGAACTAATCCTCTTTACACTAATCAAGACTGAGATTCTCTATTGAAACCCTTTTTTCATAAGAACTGGGACTACCAGAACTGAATAAGGCTTCTTTGAAACTCTACCTGTCGGACCCAAAAAGGATGAGAATCTCCCCATACTGTCTCGCCTCCTCTCTGCTTCTGCCTCTTTACCCCTCCTGGCAGCCATTCTTAACTTGTAACACATGTCTTCATATGTTGTTATATCAAACAATGCAATCTGTTGCCTGTACTCAGGTTTCATATTCTCTAACAGTCTCTTGGCCTACTAATTGGTATCATTACTATGCTGGAGGTAAGTAGAGTAAAATGACAAGTCATTGAATCTTCTGATAAATTCCTCCTCATCCAAGTCTCCTTTCCTGAAAGTATGAAATTCTTCTTCTTTCTCTATTCCAAATGAGATTGGGAAGTACTAGTCAAAGAAGGTCTTCTTGAACTCATCCTAACTCAAACATATACCACTAGTTAGTCTTATAGATTTCCACCACCTTTTTGTAGCTCCAACCAACTGCACCATGGCTAGGATAACTTTCTACTCAGCAATACAAACCACAACCTTGAAGATTGTTTCTAGTTGCTAGATTCATAACTCTGCTTCACCCTTTTTCATACTTCCATCAAATGTTGGCAGGTTAAACCAAACAACAATCTTTCAAGCACAATTAATTGATGGATTACTGCTAGGAACTTCTTATCTACTACCCAAACCCTGAGATGGTCTAAGCTTACTTTGCACTTCCTCTTGCACCAGAATGCCTTGAGCCTCAACTCTCTCCTCTTATTCTCTTCCTCTTAAAATAGTGTCATGATCCCAAACTATCTACCCTATGTCTACCATCATATTTCTCAATTTTTCTAGTAACTCATCCCTTCTATCTCTTTGCAGCTAACCGATTAAACTTCTAGCTCCTGTTCCTCCTCATTCACTCTTCTAAAAATATCACTTCTAGCACGAGTACCTCTCGCATAATGTATATTATTTTCTCCCCTTTTAAGGACGAAATTAAGAAGGATAGGTGAGTATAAGAGAAAGAGTTGTGTAATGAACAACAATAAGTTGCCAAATTTAAAGATGAATGTAATAATTGATACTAAATGAATTAGGGTCAAAACTCAAGAAATTGATACCAAAATGTAACCCTCCCCCTATATCCATCGATATAAAGAGAGGATTAACTTAATCACCACACATCTAAATTCAAACTTTAATCAAATATTTAGTTTAAAAAGCTTGGACCTAAGACTTTTTTTGCAAAATCATCAAAATCTTAATATATCAGAGCCATATATAGTGGAAACAAATCATATGCATTCATATCAATCATTGCATGCCTTTAAAATAAGGAAATAAGGACAGATTATGGGGCATGAATTGTGATGTGTACCACATATGCCACAGTATGTGGTACAAAGCCACGAGCTCTGACCTCTTCTATTCCATACATAGTGGCATTATGTGTAATGCACTATAGCGTACCCATTTCTCTTGCTGTCATTGGATAACACAAATGATAAACTTTTAGTGCGCACCGTTTCCACATACAACTTCTAATTGGAATGATTCAAGCACTCACATAAATGTTATCTCAAAAGCTAACTAATGAGACAAGTTTGGACACAATCTAACGGTCTAATAAAAATTTAGACACTCAGGTGCAAAAAGTCACTTTTTATAAAAATTTAGCACACCCAAGAGCACAAATCACTGACATGTCTTATTAAACGGTTTTTGGCCTTGAACTAAATCTAAAAAGATCTGTTACACCTGATTGACCATAATATATCACATTTATACATATATGTCAAAATTTAGCCATTTAATAGCCCATTTCTACTTTTGACACTATTCACAATTTGGCACAAAAAACATTCCTTTGGCCATTTTTACTATAATATCACAACAAAATCACACCTTTACACATTCATAACATGTTTACAATTAAATCTTAGCCTCGATTAATCATTTTGCCACACATTCACACACAAGGGCTAAGATTCACAAAATCACTATAATTTTCCACATTTCACAACTTAAATATGCATGCAATCCCTTATGGCAACTTATATATATATATATATATAATATTTACATTAAATTAGTTCATTACAGAAACTTAGAGATTTCACAGCCACTGTAAACTTTCTCAATATCCACTTGATATTAGGAAGGGTCAACCAAATCACCACATTAAACACCAAACAGTAATCAAATATGTTGTTTGAAAGGCTTGGGCCCAATACTCATTTTGCAAAATCATCAAAATCATACCATATCAAAGTAACACATAGTGAAAAACAAAGTTTCATTCAATTCATATATTGGGACTAACACAGATTTCAGAGCGGTAAGCAGAATGCGGCAGCACGAGGGCTCGTGATGCGTGTGGGCTCACTCGGAGTTGGAGGAACAAAAGGAGGGGCGCAGCATGACAGCTTTTGTAGTGTCAATCAACTGATATATTGGGACTCGCACGGATTCGGAGACCCAGGAGAAGGGGCGTAGCGAGGTCTTTTATAGCCTGAATGAATTGATATTTTAAGACACGCACAGATTTAGGACACACAGAAAGAGGGGTGCAACACGAGGACTTCCTAGGAGGTCACCCATCCAAGTACTACTCTCGCCCAAGCATGCTTGACTGCAGATTTTGATGGGATCCGTTGCATTAGTGCAGGTATGATTGCACCCGATGTAGTAGGTGAAATCAATTGATATATCCAGAACTGCACGGATTTCAGAGCTTGGAGCAGAATCCGGCAGCACGAGGGCTCGTGACGCTTGTGGGCTCGCCCGAACTTAGAGGCGCAAAAGAAGGGGCGCAGCACGACAGTTTCTGTACCGTCAATCAAATGATATATTGGGACTTGCACGGATTCAGAGGCGCAGGAGGAGGGGTGCAGTGAGGTCTTCGGTAGCCTGAATCCATTGATATCTTAGGACTCGCACGGATTTAGGATGCACAGAAAGAGGGGTGTAACACGAGGACTTCTCAGGAGGTCTCCCATCCTAGTACTGCTCTCGCCCAAGCACGCTTCACTGTAGAGTTCTGATGGGATTCGGTGCATTAGTGCTGGTATGACCGCACCCGACGTAGTGGGAAAAATCAATTGATATATCCAGACTGGCATGGATTTCGGAGCCTGAAGCAAAATGCGGCGGCACGAGGGCTTGTGATGCTTGTGGGCTTGCCCGGACTTGGACGCACAAAAGGAGGGGCACAGCACGACGACTTCTGTAGCGTCAATCAACTAATATATTAGGGCTCATACGGATTCGGAGGCGTAGGAGGAGGGGTGCAGTGAGGTCTTCTGTAGCCTGAATCCATTGATATCTTAGGACTAGCGTAGATTTAGGACCTACAGAAAGAGGGGTGTAATACGAGGACTTCTCAAGAGGTCACCCATCCTAGTACTGCTCTCGCCCAAGCACGCTTAGATGCAGAGTTCAGAAGGGATCCGGTGCATTGGTGCTGGTATGATCACACCCGAAGAAGTAGACTAAATCAATTGATACATTGGGACTCGCACAAATTTCATAGCCGAAAGAAGAATAGGGCTACACGAGGGCTAGTGATGCAGGTGGACTCGCCCGGAGTTGGAGGCGCAACAGGAGGGCCGCAGCATGAGGGCATCTGTAGCCTTAACCAACTGATATTTTGGGAGTCGCACGGATTTGGGATGCCCAAACAGTGGGGTGCAATATGAGGACTTGCCAGGAGCTCACCATCCTAGCATAGCTCTCGCCCAAGCACACTTCGCTGCGGAGTTCTGATAGGATCTGGTGCATTGGTGCTGGTATGATCGCACCCCAAGGAGTAGGCTGAATCAATTGATAGATTCGGACTCGCATAGATTTCAAAGCCAAAGAAGAGTGGGGCTGCACGAGGGCTAGTGATGCAGGTGGACTCGCCCGAAGTTGGAGGCGCAAGAGGAGGGCCGCAGCATGAGGGTGTCTGTAGCATTAACCAACTGATATTTTGGGAGTAAACGGATTTGGGACGCGCAAACAGTGGGGTTCAACACGAGGACTTCACAAGAGATCACCCATCTTAGTACTCCTCTCGTCCAAGTACGCTTGGCTGCGGAGTTCTGGTGGGATCCGGTGCATTGGTACTGGTATGATCGCACCCCAAGGAGTAGACAGAATCAATTGAGATATTCAAACTCACATAGATTTCGAAGCCAAAAGACGAGTTGGGCTGCACGAGGGCTAGTGATGTAGGTGGACTCGCCCGGAGTTGGAGGCGCAAGAGGAGGGGCGCAGCATGAGGGCGTCTGTAGCCTTAACCAACTGATATTTTGAGAGTAACACGGATTTGGGACGCACAAACAGTGGGGAGCAACACGAGGACTTTGCAGGAGCTCACCCATCCTAGTACTGTTCTCGCCCAAGCACGCTTGGCTGCGGAGTTCTGTTGGGATCCGATGCATAGGTGCTGGTATGATCGCACCCCAAGGAGTACGCTGAATCAATTGATACATTCGGACTCACACGGATTTCAGAGCCGAAAGAAGAATGGGGCTGCACGAGGGCTAGTAATGCAGGTGGACTCACCCAGAGTGGGAGGCGCAAGAGGAGGGCCGCAGCACGAGGGCGTCTGTAGCCTTAACCAACTGATATTTTAGGAGTCGCACGGTTTTGGGACGCGCAAACAGTGGGGTGCAACACGAGGACTTCGCAAGAGCTCACCCATCCTAGTACTCCTCTCGCCCAAGCACGCTTCGCTGTGGAGTTCTGATGGCATCCGTTGCATTGGGGCTGGTATGATGGCACCCGAAGAAGTAGGCTGAATCAATTGATACATTCAGACTCGCATAGATTTCAGAGCTAAAAGAAGAATGGGGCTGCACGAGGGCTAGTAATGCAGGTGGACTCGCCCGGAGTTCGAGGCGCAAGAGGAGGGCTGCAGGATGAGGGCATCTGTAGCCTTAACCAACTGATATTTTGAGAGTAACACGGATTTGGGACGCGCAAATAGTGGGGAGCAACACGAGGACTTTACAGGAGCTCACCTATCCTAGTACTGTTCTCGCCCAAGCACGCTTGGCTGCAGAGTTCTGCTGGGATCCGGTGTATAGGTGCTGGTATGATCACACCCCAAGGAGTACGCTGAATCAATTGATACATTCGGACTCGCACGGATTTCAGAGCTGAAGGAAGAATGGGGCTGCACGAGGGCTAGTGATGCAGGTGGACTCGCCCGGAGTAGGAGGTGCAAGAAGAGGGCCGTAGCATGAGGGTGTATGTAGCCTTAACCAACTGATATTTTAGGAGTCGCACGGTTTTGGGACGCGCAAACAGTGGGGTGCAACACGAGGACTTCACAGGAGCTCACCCATCCTAGTACTCCTCTCGCCCAAGCACGCTTCGCTGTGGAGTTCTGATGGCATCCCGTGCATTGGGGCTGGTATGATCGCACCAGAAGAAGTAGGCTGAATCAATTGATACATTCAGACTCGCACGGATTTCAGAGCTGAAAGAAGAATGGGGCTACACGAGGGCTAGTAATGCAGGTGGACTCGCCCGGAGTTTGAGGGGTGCAAAAGGAGGGCCGCAGGATGAGGGCATCTGTAGCCTTAACCAACTGATATTTTGAGGGTAACACGGATTTGGGACGCGCAAACAGTGGGGAGCAACACGAGGACTTTGCAGGAGCTCACCCATCCTAGTACTCCTCTCGCCCAAGCATGCTTGGCTGTGGAGTTCTGGTGGGATCCGGTGCATTGGTGCTGGTATCATCACACCCGAAGAAGTAGGCAGAATCAATTGATACATTCGAACTCACATGGATTTCAGAGCCGAAAGAAGAATGGGGCTGCACGAGGGCTAGTGATCCAGGTGGACTCGCCCGGAGTTGGAGGTGCAAGAGGAGGGCCGCAGCACGAGGGCTTCTGTAGCCTTAACCAACTGATATTTTGGGAGTCGCAAGGTTTTAGGACGTGCAAACAGTCGGGTGTAACACGAAGACTTCGCAGGAGCTTACCTATCCTAGTACTCCTCTCGCCCAAGCATGCTTGGCTGTGGAGTTCTGGTGGGATCTGGTGCATTGGTGCTGGTATGATCGTACCCGAAGAAGTAGGCTGAATCAATTAATACATTCAGACTAGTGTGATGCAGGTGGACTAGCCCGGAGTGGGAGGCGCAAGAGGAGGGCCGCAGCACGAGGGCGTCTGTAGCCTTAAGCAACTGATATTTTAGGAGTCGTACGGTTTTGGGACGCGCAAATAGTGGGGTGCAACACGAGGACTTCGCAGGAGCTCACCCATCCTAGTACTCCTCTCGCCCAAGCACGCTTGGCTGCGGAGTTCTGATGGGATCCGGTGCATTAGTGCTGGTATGATCACACCCGATGGGGGAGGCTTAATCAATTGATATATTCCGACTTGCACGGATTTCGGAGCCAAAAAGGAGAAGGGGGCTGCACGAGGGCTCGCGATGCGTAAGGACTCGTCTGGAGTCGGAAGGCGCAAAAGGAGGGGCGCAGCACGAGGGCTTCTGTTTCCTGAGTCGATCGATATTTTGGGACTCGCACGGGTTTCGGACGCGCAAAAAGTGGGTGCAACACGAGGACTTCCCAGGAGGTCACCCATCCTAGTACTACTCTCGCCAAAGCCGCTTAACTGCGGAGTTCTGATGGGATCCGGTGCATTAGTGCTGGTATGATCGCACCCGATGGAGCAGGCTGAGTAA